GGCTGCAAAAGTTCGACAAATCATGCAGGCATGCGTCATTCCGGGTGCTGCTCTGACAATTATCGCGTGCTGTTACGCTCAAGTCGTGAGTGCACGGGAGTTGACTTCAGTAGTTAGCATACTGAGCATAGGTTATCATGGACCACGGTCAGATGGAACAGAACGCCCGGGCTGGCGCAAGGATGCGGGTAAGATAATCTTGCCTGGAGAGGTTTCTGGTAGCCACTAATTAGATGGCAGGTTCCAGTACAAGGTACCTTTACAGTTGTAGATCAAGGACATGGAAAGGGTTACGCAAAGTAACTGCACTAAGGAGCAATGTAATACATTTTTAGGACATTAGAAGTAATGCATGCTGTTGGCTTTAAAAATGCAGTCTGGCATTTTCGCCTGCATTCTTCCATTAGTTTTGTAAACGATCCCAATGGTGTGCTTCCGCGTATAGTTAAGAAAACAGAGCGCCGCCTGCAGCAGCCTGTACGATGATCAGGGCTCATAAACTAGGAACAGGGCGAATGGAGGGATGTCGCTAACAGCCATGCATATCAGGAAGTTCGTACTCGACACGCACACACACTTCTGGTAGCACGAGCATGTGACATCACAACTGGGGAAATCTACCAGATGGAGAGATGTCGGCACCGACTGAAGCTCCGTTGCGCTCCAACCGTCCCCACTTAGTTTAGCTAGAAGCAGCTCGACTCACAGAGCAAAGGACACTGACCAACGCTTCGCAAGCATAATGGGTCGCACGCCGACTCCCCGCTCACGGAGCTGGCGTCATTGACAGCCGACTGGTCACTGGCCAAGATAGCCAACTGGGACTGGCCCCGCTACGCCATCGCCTGGTGTGTTATAACGTGTTGGCAGCGCATCTGGCTGAAATGGAATTGCGCAACGTCGCGGTTGGCTTGGCATCCTCGCAACAGGTCGTGCTTTGCAAGATTTCCGAGGCCGAAGCCATTCCTGCGAATCATTCAGTCAACAAGATCAGGTCCGGATCAATTAGAGGTCATGTTAACAGGCGTACGTATCACTCCCCCTCCCCCCCCCCCCCGCCCGGAAAAATACCTCTCGCCTATGAAGAGCTACATCTTGTTCCCTATCCTCATTTCACGGTTTGTGGCAAAATTGTGAATTTGAAGTGACTGAATCAAATATGCAGGAAGATGTAGCATGTCTTCTTCAGCTCGCTACCTTTTGTTGCTAGAAGCTTTTGTGTGCTTTAAACATTCTGCAAAGACTGTCTAAGCATGGGCCATGTGAGAGGCCAGAACGTGATGCGATGCATTCATGTTGGCCAAATGCTGGCAACTTTGTGTTGTTAGGCAGCTCAATGGACTGAAGACAGGCAGAGTGGGGTGGCAAAGCTTTAAAGTCGCCCGGGATCTGAGGCGTCCAAACCCGCACATCTCATCACCGAAGTACTCGTTTAGTTTTAGGCCAAACAAAGGAACAGCTTTCGTGGTACGACGCAATTTGCTAACTCCCCAAGAGCTGTTATTCAGTCGGCGCGTTTTCACCAGCCGTCTTCATTCTCAGCTCCCAACCGAAACAAGAAAGCACACGCCAGTACAAGTCGTTCCCCTCATGGGCACCCCGCCGAGATATCCCTCACCAAGCGGGGACCCAGCCGCACAGAACCGATCTCCGGACGCGCGATACCATCTGGATAATATTTAATTTGCGTATCGGCATTCGATTGCGAGCGGCGGGCGGTTACAGGGTTGCTGGGTTTTTTGCGGCGGCTGGTGAGTGGCCGTCCGGTTTTTGCGGACGAACCGGAGCCGGACAGGGCAACCGCGCGCCGCTGCCGTCCTGAGCGGCACTCAGCCCGGGCGGAACGCGGCGGCCGTCTCGTCGCCGCCGTTGCCGGCCGGTGTTGGGTGTCTTCGAGCGCCTCCCTCCGCGGGGCGTGAGGGCACACGCGCGCGGGGACGGAGCGGAGAACTCCCGCTGCCCGCGCAACCAGCTCAGCGGGGATTTAGAGCCACGGAGCATGGGTCTCTGATTGGTCCGTGATTGAACGCTCCGATGGCTGTCGTGAATGCGGCTGTGCGTTTGATCAAAGCGAAGTAAGTTCGGGCAATGGCTGCTTTTCCTGATGTTTATGCATTAATGGAGAGAAGGTCGGTCCCGTTCTGCCCAGACAGAATCGCGGTCAAATAAATGGGCATCATGGTACCTCCTCAGTAATATTTTCGAAGCCCATCAAATCTATTAAATGGGTTAGCATGACAAAAGATCACATTAGCACGCGTGATGAAGAAATACATTTCAATGCTCCATTGATACATTTGAAGTGCAGGTGGTTTACAAAATTTTATGCATAGCATTAAGTTTTTATTCTCACACAACTTTGGTGTGCACGGAAGATGGTGCGCATTTCGTTGCAAACCTCAGTGGGCTACCAGACGCCAGACGACCGCAACGAAAATACTGCAGCAAACCGTGGTAAGCGTCGCGCGTAAGCCCGTGCAGTACAAGCCATCGCAGGCCACCAGCCAATCCCTCGTGTCTGCCGGATCTCAGCGCACCCGGAGCTCCAACCAGAATCCCGATCAGTCCGCCACTGCAGCATCATCAAACGCCTCTGAAAGCTGCAAACCCATGACCCAAGCCGCTACAGACGTCGTAAAGAAGACATCACGGACTGCGGCTTTAGCGAACCAACTCGACCCGGCCTTTATGGGCCTGCTTTTTAAATGATCATGCCATGAATCAAAGAATACGACTCATCAATGAGCAGATCACACGATTCAATGAGATTCATTGACATGGTTCTATAGAAACGTGCACATGGATTTAGTACGCGTTCGATGCACTTACCTCAGCTCTGAGACAAATTCGGAACGGGATGACCTCTTCTCACACGAAAGGGTCACGCCGGAGCAATCCGAGATCCAAGGTCTAGATCCAAGCCGGATCTGTCTCCGTGTGAGGAGACATCCCAACAAACTCAAGCCTAAGCTTAGGTCAAAGCGTCGGCTTCTAGCGAGTGCTAGTGATACAATGCGAGACAGTCACACGAAGAGCAGAACTGACTATCAAAATTACGCGAGTATCCTCCCCTCCCCCACACGTCATTTCATCCGGTAATGGCAGCAGGGTAGGGTACAACTGCAACTCAATACATTCATCGGCGTGCGGCATCATTTAAATGTTGCCCAGCCATAGACGGCAGCGAATACACGACGACGTCCTTGTAATCAAGCCTACCAGCGCGCCAG